ACACAAACAACAACGACAATTAATTGCTCTTCCCTATACAACAAAACACCCCCGGTGCGCCCCCGTTGTTTTTTCCCCCCCCCCCCCCCCCCCCCCCATTATTTGTGGATTCTCAGACCAGTCAGATGTTTGTGTTCCCAGCTCATGAAAGAAGCTGAATCAGATTTGTCTAAGAACATTCCAACCTGTTAGAAAAGGAAACTCAATGAAGCGGTTTCTTCTTCTGCTGGTCAGAAAAGTTTCAGCACCACTTAGAGCATCGCCCTGCTGCCTCTGTTGGATGATAAAATGTTCAGATCTCCTTCAGTGTCTCTGTCAGGTGGGAGCAGATGCCCAGGTCCAGTTGGAGAGGTTCTGGTTCAGGAGAAGACCTGATAATGATGGTATTCCTTCACCAGGCCCTGGTCAAACCTGGCAAAAGTCCTGGGTCTTTGAAGGGAAGTGAATTCTCTCTGGGAAGACCTGAGAGACAAAGATGAAAAGATGTTTAATTTATTGGTTATTGTTTTTTATTTATAAATTATTATAAATGTTTATAAACATTTATGGATATGTATAAATGTTTATTAAGGTTTATGAATATTTATAATATTTATGAATATTTTTAAATGTTTATAATCTTTATAAATGTTTATGAATATTTATGAATGTTTATAATATTCATAAATGTTTATGAATATTTATGTTTATAACAATTTTAAAATGATCCTAAATATGTCTGAGAATTTATAAGTGTTTATGATTTCTTCTCGTTCTTCAGATCCTGTGTTCTGTTTCAGCAGGTAACTGAGGACGTCTCGGTTGTTGAGCTGTGAACACGTGACGCATCAAAACCTTCGGCTCGTTCAGGACATTCCTGCTGCGACGTTTGGTTTGTTTCAGTTTTTACTTTTTGAAACATTCAGCGTTGTCGGCCATGTTTGTCTCAATGAATGTCTCTGTGCTGTTTACAACGTCTTCCTGCTCATTCCGGCTGTTCTTACACTTAATCTTTTTCGGTTCCTTTCTTGTTAATTTCAGCTTTTTGGTTATCTATTCAGCCTCTTTCTATGTATTTCAGTTTATTCTGCTCATTTTGGCTTTTTTTACTATTTATTCAGCCTTTTGTACACATTTCAGCTGTTTTTCTGCTGCTTTCTTGTTTTATTTTCTTCTCTTAGCAAATGCCATCTGTTCAACTTGCAGCAGCAGTTTAGAGATGACACATGTTCAGCTCTTTCAGCAGCTGTCAGCTGAAATCCTTCACGCTGTATTTTCTCAGGTCAGGCCGTTTCTCTGGTTAAACGTTGTTGACATGTCTTTCAGCAGGTCAGGGCTCAGCCGAAGGATTTCCCTCCCAACAACATCAGCTGCGTTCTTCCTTCAGCCTCTTGACTCCAACATCTGCTGCCACACATCTGAACCGAGCACGAGTTAGAGTCCCGGGTGTCCCGCAGGCGTCAGAGGGATGAGCTGAATCATCGTTTCTCTGGCTCGGGAGGCTTGGTGCTGTCTGGACCGGTTCTGTTGGTCGCTGTTTGTTTTCTGTGCTCAGTTTATTGTGATCTTCAGTTTTATTCGGTTCTTGTCGTTTCTCTGGGTCTTTTCCCATCCCTCAGTCTTTCTGCCACGCCCACTTCAGCTTGCTTTACCGCAGCTGCAGCCACTCTCCCCATGGACCTCGGCCCGTTTGTTGTTTTCACTTCCTCACCAGTCGAGCATTAATGGCCCCTCGTGTTGCTGTTCATCTCGTCAGGTTCATGTTTTTGATGATAGGTTTTTGTTCTTGTTTAAAACAATAAAGTTAATTTGTTTAACCCCTTCGGTCCCGTCTGTATTCTGGCTCCAAACTGTGAAACTCTCTTAAGTTTAATCCTCCATTTCTGCAGCACATCACAGCATCAGAACCTCCTTTGTGAAGGAAAAGTACAAAAACACAAATAATCATGTCTCCTGACAGGAAGTGAACTCAGATCTGCTCAGATCTTTAAAACCTTCAAGATAAATGAAAGGCTTCCCCTGATCGGCCTCCTGCTTCATTTCAAACATCATTCAACGTATTCTGGCTCATCTGTTTATCTTTGATTGTCTCTTTAAATCGATTTAGAACGGCTCTTTGATCCATCCTTTAAATGTGCTTATCTTCTATAATTAACAGAGAAATAACATCTCTGCATCACAATGTTTTTGATATTTTACAGCAGCATCATGAAATAAACTGCTCAGCTTTAGATTTGACGTTAAACTGATTAAACGGACAATCAGCTGCTGCTGTGAGGACAGTAAATCTGGTTTGTGTCTTTGCTGCTGTGACGTCAGCTCTGACGCTCCGAGGATGATTAAATGACGTGTTTAAATGTGAAAATTATCATTCCTTATTATTAAATACTTCTGCTGCCTTCAGGGGTCTCCACAGAGGATCTGAGGTCTTCATCTCCATCACCAACCCTCTTCTGAGTTGTCATCTTTATCGTTGTCCTCTTCATCTTCTTCTGAGTCATCGTTTCTGTCACTGTCCTGATTTCTTCCTTTCAATGGCTAAATTCATCTTCTTTGGTTGTTTTATAGTTATTAAAGTTATTATAGCTATTATAAATGGTATTTTTTATCATCTTCTATGTTTTCCTCTGAATTTTCTAATGTGCCACCTTTTTTTACTCATAGATGTGATTTTTAGGAATGACACGGTGGCTCAGCTGGTAGAGCTCCCGCCTCTCAGCGAGAAGGTCGTCAGATCAAATCCTGGTCCAGAGTATTTCAGGTACTCCAGTTTCCTCCCACAGACCAAAAACATGTATGTTAGACTGATTGGTGACTGTAAATTGTCCCTAGGTGTCACTGATGGACTGGAGACCTGTCCAGGTGTCCTTGATAGACTGCAGACCTGCCCAGGTGTCCCTGTGATGGACTGGAGACCTGTCCATGTGTCACTGATAGACTGAAGACCTGTCCATGTGTCCCCGTGATGCACTGGAGACCTGTCCAGGTGTCCTTGATAGACTGAAGGCCTGTCCAGGTGTCCCTGTGATGGACTGGAGACCTGTCCAGGGTGTCCCCCATCTCTAACACAGTGACTGCTGGACATGGGCACCAGTGACCCCCTTGACCCAAAATGGAAGAAGCGAGTAAAGATAATGAATGGATGGATGATGAATGGATGATGGATGGATGGTGGTTTGATGATGGATGATGGACAGATGATGGATGGATGATGGATGGATGATGATGGATGATAATGGATGATGGATGGATGATGGATGGAGGATGGATGGATGATTGATGGATGATAGATGGATGATGAATGGATGATGATAGATGGATGATGGATGGATGGATGAAAATGGATGGATGATGATGGATGATGATGGATGATGGATGGATGGATGGATGGATGGATGGATGGATGGATGATGGATGGATGATGATGGATGATGGATGGATGGATGGATGATTGATGGATGATAGATGGATGATGAACGGATGATAATGGATGGATGATGATGGATGATGATGGATGGATGGATGATGGATGAGTGATGGATGGATGATGGATGATTTATAATTAAATGTTAATAATGTTTCGTTCTTGTTTTAGCACTAACTACACTGAAGCTTCGTGTCGGTCCTTATAAAACAAAAGTCCCAGTAAAGAAGGTTAAAAACGAGAGTCCTCATCTGCACAGTAAACAAGAACAAGTGTGTGATCTTATTACTGTTGAACTGAAATTCAGATGTTTAAATTCTAATATGCTCTTAAAGCAGGCCATAAAACTTTTTGTTTTTTTTATTGTTTAAAGTCTTGGTGGTGTTTTCATGTCACTAAAATTAAATGACTTTAAGAAACAATTAAACATTATGATGAATGGAACGTCATTTGATGTTGTAGTTTCTTTGTTGAGTTTTGTTAAAATATTTGATAAAATTTTAATTAAGTGAATTCACAGTTCAGAGAAAATACCACCACTCTTAAAATCACTCATGAACATTATAAATGTAGAACACAGCTTTTCAAGCTGACTACAAATGTTTGCTCGTCTTTAACGTCTTAGAAACTCCTTTAAACTTTGGACGGCTGTATCTTCTCCTTCATCAGTTTCTGACCTCTAAGCCTCTTTCAGCTGCTCACCTCTGACTCCACAGCAGACCGTCAACACGTCCAGAATGTTCAGAGTCCAGAGTCCAGGAATAAAAACACAAAGTTCTGCAGCCGCCCGTCATGGCGTCTCCTTCCTCCTCCTCAGACCAGAGTACTCCTCTTCTCCCTCTCCGCTCGGTCCCGGCTCAGGTCCGGCGTCGGCGGCGCAACGTGACCCGACGTGTTGTTGGGCTCGCAGCGGCCCGAGGCGGGCGAGTTCTGCATGACCACCAGGCGTATGGGCGACTGGCTGGGCGGCGCCGTCGCGCTGTCGGGGACGTACTCCTTGGTGGGGTCCTTACCACGGCAGTCATACAAGATGCAGGAGATGAGGAAGACTAGGAGCAGGATGACATAGCTGGCGATGAGGATGATGAGGTTGAGGGTGACGGGGTCAATCTCCAGGTAGAACTCCATAAAACCCATGATGACCCTGCATATCTCACCTGGGTCCAGGGAGGAAGACTGGTCCACCAGGGACCACCGGAGGAGGAAGAGGAGCTGAGCTGGACGGGCAGAGAGAGAAAGAGGAGAACGGCGTGAGCTGATGAAATGAGATGGGCTGAGCGTGGGGGAGGGGACGCTGCAGTGGAGATGAGGCTTTGTGCTTCACCCACATTAATCCTCGCTGCTCCTCAACCTTGACTTTTCAGCAGCCAATGATTAAAGCTGCTCACTTTTAATAACTTAAGCCACCATTTTGATTTGGCCAACCGCAGCGAGACGACGGAACAAGCCTGGCAAAATGGACGTGCCGACGCACACCTGTCAGCCTGCCAGGAGCGCCACCGGTGGGATTTGAGGAGTCATGTAACGTGTATTTATGATGTCACTCAGGCAGATTATCTTCATTCCATTTGATTACATTAAAAGCAGAACCGAGCTCGGAACCGGCACACATCCAGATAAAAACAGACAATTTTGAAAGTAGCGCTGCGAGTTCATCCTGAAGTGAATTAATCTTGAAGTCCACAACCTTTCACACTGATGAAAACACTAGGTGCTGTTTTAATCCTGAGGTTTGAGGACAAAATGAAACAGGCCCCCTCCCTCTCGGTTTTCAAGTCCCATTTAAAACCTCACTACTATTCAGCAGCTTTCAACACCAGATGATCTGTGTTTGATCCTGTATGCTCCACACTGGTTTGTCGACATTATCTGCATCGTTTTTATGTCTATATTCTGATTTACCTCATTTTGTATTTTGCTTTGTGTGTTACCTGTTGTTCTGTCTGTACAGCACTTTGGTTGGTCTTGTTGCTGTTTTAAGTGCTTTATAAATAAAGTGGTATGGTATGGTCTTTTATTGATTGAGGACAATGATCACATGTCATCCAACATCACATGTTAGTGGTAAAAGAATGTGAACCTCTGGGATTATCAATAATCTGAAGGTGAAATTAGAGTCAGGTGTTTTCATGATGATCAGGTGTGAGTGGACACCCTGGTTGATCTAAAGAACAGGATCTATCAAAGTCTGATCTTCACAACATGTTGGTGGATCATGGCAGGAGCAAAGTCTGAGGAGCTCAGAAAAAGACTTGTTGATGCTCATCAGGCTGGAGAAGGTTATAAAACATCTGTAAAGAGTTTGGACTCCACCAGTCCACAGTCAGACAGATTGTGGACAAATGGAGGACATTCAGACCATTGGCACCCTCCCCTGGAGTGGTGGACCAACAAAGATCACTCCAGGAGCAGGTCTGGAATAGTGGGCGAGGTCACAAATGAGCCCAGGGTAACTTCTAACAACTGAAGGTCTCTCTCACATGGACTGATGTTGATGTTCATGAGTCCACCATCAGGAGAACTCTGAACAACAATGGTTCATGGCAGGGTTGAAGGAGAAACCACTGCTCTCCAAGAAGAACATGCTGCTCATCTGCAGTTTGCTAAAGATCACGAGGACGAGCCAGAAGACTGTTGGATGAATGTTCTGAGGACGATGAGACAAAATTTAACTTTTTGTTTTAAATGAAAAGAGTTATGTCTGGAGAAAGGACAACAGCAATCCTGTAGAAGAACCTTATCCCATCTGTGGAACATGGTGGTGGTGGTATCATGGTCTGGGCCTGTTCTGCTGCCTCTGGGCCAGGACGGCTTGTCATCATTGATGGAACAATGAATTCTGAATGATATCAGAGAATTATGGAGGAACATGTCAGAACATCTGTCCATGAAGTGAATCTGAAGAGAAGGTGGGTCATGCAGCAACAATGACCCTCAGCACACAAGTGGTTCTACCAAAGAATGTTCAAGAAGAACAAAGTTCATGTTTTGGAACAGCCAAGTCCAAGTCCTGACCTTCATCCAATCCAGATGTTGTGGAAGGACCTGAAGCTGCAGGTAATGTGAGGAAACCACCAACATCCAGAGTTGAAGCTGTTCTGTACAGAGGAATGGACAAATGTCCTCCAGGCTGGTGAGCAGGACTGATCAGCAGTTCCTGGAAACATTTAGGTGAAGGTGTTGTTGCATGTGGGGGGGGGGGGGGGGGGTCACGCCAGGTACTGAAAGCAAAGGTTCACATACTTTTACCACTCACAGATATTTAATATTGGATCATTTTCATCATTCAACAAATGACCAAGTCTTATATTTTAACTGGATTATTTTTATCTAGTTCTAGGACGTGTGTGAAAATCTGAAATGTTTTAGGTCACATTGGTGCAGAAATATAGAAAATTATAAAGAGTTCACACACTTTGATGCATGGGGTTCTCAAACTTTTGGGTTTAGGGACCCATCATAACACTCATGGTAAATATTTTCCTTCAATTTGTCTTTTTTTAATGCAAAGGAAATATTTCTGTGACATAAATATTTAAGACCTGTTCTTTAATAGTGTTAATACAATTTTTGTGCTTTTAAACATGGAGTATTTTTCATTCAAGACACAATTAATTAACATCATTTTTAATTTGAACTTCCAAAAATTACAATTTTGAGAAAATTAACAGTAACAAAAACAGCTTTAAAACATAACCTATTCAGATAATGAACATGAATGTTTTGCCACTTCTTCATATTATTATAGGAAACTCTTTACAGAAAATTGAACAGAATCATAACAGCAATAGTCAGACCATTCATTCAACCTTTATTTCTACAGGTCAGTCTCATTGAGCCACAAGGACTCATTTACAAGGGAGACCTGATTTAACAAAGAATGATGACAGTCATAAAATAAAGCATGTAAACTGGGAAATATGAATGAAAGAAAATTATATTAAAAAAAAACTAAACAACAACAGCTAGGTTGTAAAGCAGACCAAGAAGTGATTTAAAGATGAAAATGTACCAGTGAGAGAGTCTGCGTGAAGTTAATGGTGACCAGTTAACCAGTGAATACTGGGTGCAATGGTGGGTACGGTAGTTACAGCCAGTTATGGATCTTAGTGCCCATGATAGACAGCATCCAACATCTGCAGCATCCAACATCTGCAGGGTTCTTCTAGGAGCGTTCATGTAAATAATGTCACCGTGATCAATGGAGGGAAGGAAAGTCACAGATACAAGGTGTTTCCTAACATTTAGGGTTAGACAGGATCTGTTTCTGAAAAAGAAACCAGATTAACTTTCAGTTTCTTTACTGGGTTTTCCATGTGGAGCTTAAAAGAGAGATGCGAGTTGATCAAGATACCCAAATATTTATAGGAATCAACAAACTCAATAGGAAAACCATTCAAAGATAATATCGAGAGAAGGACTGCTGGGATCGACTTCCTGTTTGTAAACAGCATCCCTTTGTTTTTGTCGGCGTTTAGGACAAGTTTGAGACGGAACAAATCTGACTAGAGGATGTCAAAAGCTGGAAAATGTTATCAACTGTTTTAGCTCGACAATAAACAACTGTATCATCAGCATAGAAATGTAAGGATGCATCAGGGATGATCTGACCTACATTATCCAGATTGTAAAGAGGGTGGGTCCTAAGACAGAGCCTTGTGGTACACCATTGTTGACTGTTAAATAACTGGAGGAAGTACCATGATGTTGAACACAATGCCTCTGGTCTGAGAGATAGTTATAGAACCAACCAATGGTGTGATCTGAGAAACCGATTTATGAGATCTTATGACACAAGATGTTCTGATCCACAGAGTCAAAATATTTAGACAGGTCTAAGAAAAGTGCAGCACAATAATCCTTAGCATCCAGTGATTTTAAATCCCCAAAGTCCACAAAGATTGAGACCAAACTAAATGTAAAAGTCTACAAGGAGCAAGTGGTACGAGATAGTGTTTCTAGACAGAGTTCTGAGGTTTGATCTGTACTGTTGGTCCAAACTGAAGATAATTACAGCTCCCAAACAGCCTCCTTCCTGTTCGGACTTATCTAATCCAGAACATCTCTGACTCATGAGACTTTATTCTTGATTTAAACACTCCATCCTCCTACTTTCTTCTTCTCTTTTTAAAAACTCTATTTCCTCCTTCTTTCTTCTTCTCTGTTTTTAAATCCTGTTTCTTTCCCTCTTTTTGTTTTCCTTCCTACATTCTTAGTCTTTGCACCTCAGTGGTGATTTTAGCCTCATTTGGGGGGTGCTCAAGTTCCCTTAAATTTTAACTCAGCACCCCTGAAAATAAAGAAACCATCATAAGGATTTTGTAAGGAAGCTCAGTTCTCAGCCAAATTATTGAATAAATTTAGAATAAGAACAGAATAAATGTCGACAGTCAAACGAGTCAGTAAAAGCTATGATTTTTTTTTGTTGCACTAGTCGGATCTTCAACACCACTTGTCAATCATTCCAGTCGGCTTGTCAGCAACTGACTCATCAGCGATGTCAATTTGTTTTGAAATGAATTACCTGCAGGAGCTGCATCTGCCTTTTCCTCCAACATTGTTGGGGTTTTGTATTCCTAACACTTTGCAGTCCGAGGAGAACAGGTCATTCTCACAGTGTTTCCCTGAGTGTTCAGAGGATGGAATACAGTTTATCACATTTCCAAAACCTAATCAAAGTTTTGGAAAAGTGTAAAACATGGATAAACTACCACATGTTCAGCATACATGATCTGACCAAAGCGTATTGGAACCCATGTGCAGGAAGACGAGGAGACTCCAATAAAATAAGTAAAAAGTTTATTGTTGAAGAAACAAAGTACAATGCTGACGGGGCAGCTAACTTACTTTAAAGGAGGACACGACAGGGAGACAGACCATGAAGCCTTGACAGGACAATCCAGAGACAAAGACACAAGTAGCTGAATATAACAAGGTGACAGACACCTGCGGTGGTTAGGATCAGACACGTGCGACAGAACAGGACGGTCGACTCACATCTCTCTTTTAAGCTCCATGTGGAAAACTTGATAAAGAAATGGAAAGTTAAACTGGGTTTGTTTTTCAGAAACAGATCCTGTCTAACTCTGAACCCTGAGGAACACCTTGTATCTGTGACTTTCCTTCCCTCCACTGATTACAGTGACATTATTTACATGAACGCTCCTACAAGAACCCTGCAGATGTTGGATGCTGCAGATGTTGGATGCTGCAGATGTT